ACAGTTCTCAGACACGGCAGAAATTTGGAGATTGTTAGCATGTCTTTCTCTGGAGATGAAACTGGCTCAGCACCAACAAGAGGGCACCAGAGGGGATTCCTCTAACCTCAGTGCTTGGGTAATGGCTATTCCCTGATGGCCAGGGAAGAATTAAGTTCAGTATGTGGCTCACAGTACATTACACATTGAATCCTGAACAGCTAGGCTGTAAATACAATTTGAAAGGAAGAGAGAGCTAGCTCTTCACCATCTATATATGTAATGTATTCATAATAAATAAATCTTTCAATAAGGAGTTAGGAAAATTTCCTGTTTTTGTACAGCCAAAGGAAGCAGAGCATCAGGGAGGCATCCACTGAGTCTCATTAGCAGAGATAACCAATGCGGAAAATCCAGGGGGACCTACTCCACATTTTCATTAGGGAAGGCATTTTTTAAATATATATAACTGAAATATGTTAGTAATTTTCTCATTTGCAAAATTCACTTTGCCTGAGGATGAATAGGATTTTTGGTTTTTTAATACTTAATGAGTATCTTCTTTGTCCTAGATGCACATAAAAATAAAGCATCATTTGTCACCTTTTTTCGCACCTTATTTCTGAAAAGATAAAACAGTAAAGTCTTCACAGAATGATTTTTTTCAAGTAGAATTTTTTAAAATTCTCTCTATATATATTTTTAAAAATATATTTTATTGAAATATAATTTATGTACACTGAAATACACAAAACTAAAGTGACATGGGTCAATACATTTTTTTTTTCAGTGTTCCCTCCTCTCCCCTCCCACCCCTGGCAACCAACAAAGAAACTTTCCCTCCATATATAAACCTTTCCTTGACCCTCCACAACAACAAACTAATACTGTATTTGTCCATCTGTGATTGACTTACGTCACTCAGCATAATGTCCTCCAGTTTCATCCATATTATGCAGTGTTTTGCAGACTCTACATTATTCTTTAGTGTTGCATAGCATTCCATTATGTGTATGTACCATAGTTTGGTCATCCACTCTTCCACTATAAATCTTAGACATAAGTCCTTTGCCAGATATGTAATTATCAGCAAATATGAATTTGTTGCTGTCATTGTTGTTATGTGCTTTTTCATGGTGTGATTTCTTTGTTCCGTATAATTTTCTATGCTGAGCTTGTTTTGTTTATGAATCGTGTTATCACTTCCTTCCCATTGCTGTTGTTTTAGTATTTGCTAAGTATTTATGCTGGTCCTCTTTTTTGATGTGAAGGTTTATCATTTTCCTTTGAGGTTATCCTGTGATTTGTAGTCTTCTTCCCAAGTTTAGAACAGACCGTTCTATCTTGTAGTTGTCTTGATTTCCCTACAATCTACAAGTTCTGTAATGACATGGTTTTTTCCCCTCTTTTAGGTTTGTAGTTGTCCTCATTGTCAATTGATGTCTCTGGTTCCCTGTTTACAATGTTGTAGGCTTATTTACTTTGAATATTTCCATACTTGAGTTGGTTTCTGGGTTATAGCATCATGTGTGTTAATGGTCAGTAGTTGTTGGCTGTTGTTTCTCCATCCAAATGGCTCCCTTTAACATCTCTTGTAAGGTTGGTCTGGTTTTAACGAATTCCCTTAATTTCTGCTTATCTGGAAACATCCTAATTTCACCATCATATTTGAAGGACAGTTTGGCTGGGTACATAATTCTTGGTTGGAAATTGTTCTCTTTCAGTGTTTTATATATACCATCCCATTGTCTTCTCACCTGCGTGGTTTCTGTCAAGAAATCCAAACTTAGTCTTATTGGTTGCCCCTTGTAGGTAACTTTTCATTTTTCCCGTGCTGCTCTCATGATTCTTTCTTTGTCTTTTATTTTGGTAAGTTTGATGATGATATGTCTGGGTGATTTTCTTTTGGGGTCTATCCTATTTGGGGTTCATTGGACTTCCTGAATGGATATATTCTCATCTTTCATCATACCAGGAAAATTCTCTTCCAACTAATCTTCAACAATTTTCTCTGTGGTTTTCTTCTTCTCTTCCTGTTCTGGAATTCTGATTACATGTAGGTTATTCCTTTTGATGGTATCCCACATGAACCTTAGGCTTTCTTCATTTTGTTTTGATTTTTTTTTTCTGATTTATCCCTTTCCAAAGAAGTATTCAGGTATTTGTCTTCAATCTCTCTAATTCTGTTTTCCATTGATTTAATTGTGCTCCTTTGCCCATTCAATGTCTTTTCTATTTCTGAAAATTGACTATTAATCTTCTGGATTTCTGTGTGTAGATTTTGTATCATTTCTTATTTTTCATTTATTTTGTCATTTTGTTCTTGTATATTGACTTTCAAAATTGTTCTAGGGTTTTCTCTGTGTTTTCCTTGATCTGCCTCTCAGTTTGTTGAAGATACCTGAATATAATTCTTTTGAATTCCTTAACAGGGAGTTCTAATGCTGCATCTTCCTCAGGGATGTGTTTTGGGTCTGTATCCTGGTCCTTTGTTTCTCCTGCTTTATCTTGTTTCTTTGTGTGGACTGTGATACTCTGTTGTCTCTGAGGCATTGTGACATTTTTGTGTTTATATTTAATTGGGGATTGTATGTTGGAGTGACTTGCCTGTGATTTTCATTTTCTTTGTTTTGTTTGTATGTTATCTACACAAGCAGGGTACTGTGCTCCTCTATTCACTAGCTGACAGCACTCATACACTCACCACCTGTCTCCTTTCCTGTTGTCAGCCTCTTGTATGTCCCTACTGACCTTGGCAAACAGCCTATTCTTAGGTCCCTGGAATCTGAATGAGAATGCTATCACTTTAAAATCCAAAATGGTTGCCACTTGTAAATAATCAAAATGGCTGCACCCTCCGAACAGCAGAAAGTCAGCAGCTCAGGGTATCTCGCTACTTTCTGTTTCCCTTCCTAGTCATAGGCCACCAGCACAGTCATCCTTGCAGACCTTGGTAGGCAGGATTGATCTTTAGGTAAATTCTCAGGTCCTAACACTACTTGAAAATATTCAGGGTGTTGGTCCCATCAGAGTAGCTAACAGTCCACAGCTCCGACCATCTCTGTACTCACTGTTTTTATTCAGGTTTTTCCACTAGTTGGTGCCTAATCTACTTCTGCATAGCTCCTTTCAAAGCTCAGGGCTCCAGGATTATCTTCTGTTTCTCTGTCAATTGGTTTTTCTTTTCTTTGTTGAAGAGGGTCTGTTGTCTCTTGTCTGACTATTCCTCTATGAAGTATGGGTCTCCAAATTAGCTCTAAAATATACTATATTTGAAATGCCTACTCTAAAATTCCATAAAAAGGATAATCGATGGCAATCAACTCGTGTAAGTATAAGATTTTGTATCTTAATATGGATGGTCATAGTAGGAGCAAGGGCTTTTTCCTCCTAGATTTTACTTGCGAAGTTTGGCTGCCTATATGGAGTCATACAGTCTCAGAGCTAGTTTCTAGAGTTAACCAAACAGCAGCCACTGCATGAGTTATTGGATAACAAACAGGATAATGCCTAACACTGGAGAGAAACCAATGACAAAATGAAAGATTTTTTTTCTCACCATAGTTAGAAACTTGTCTATTGTGGCCACCCATAATTTATTACAATAACATTATGTCAATGTCTAGGAGGATACTGACCCTCTTGTCCTTTAAGGCAGGGGAGCAGAACTTGCTTTAGATCACTTAATAGCAGTTTCACCTCATCAAGGTATGTGTTCAGGAAACCAAACCAAATCCAAACCTGTTGGTGTCAAGTCGATTCCAGTTCATAGAGACTGTATGCAACAGAGAGAACTGCCTGATAGGGTTTTTAAGGCTGTAATCTTTATAGGAGCAGATTGCCACATCTCTCTCCCACAGAGCACCTAGTGGATTTGAAACGCCGATCTTTCAGTTAGCAGCCCAGTGTTTAACCAGACTTCTGGAGTTCAGAAAAAAGGGCCATGTGACTAACCTGTTTTGAGACCCTCAAAATGTTTATCTGATCTGTCAAGTAATCATTCCTACTGACACTGATTTTTTCAGTGGTAAAATATTATATGCAATAGTATAAAATGAAGGCAATGTCTGAGTTGTGCATTTTCCATTTACTTTTATAAGCATCATCAAGATAGACACAAAGGTTTCATATCCTTTCTTGCAAAAACTGAGGGATAAAATGGATTGCCTTACTTAAGCATTCTTCTGTGTTTATCTTTATTAGGAATATTTTTCAGCAGACATCTTTGTTTTTCCAAATGTTAGATTTTTCTCCCTCAGAATAGCTTTCCTGAAATGAAATTACTATATCAAAGGTATGAATATTTTAAAGCTCCTATCTCCAAGCATATTTCTAACTAGCTTTCCAAAAGAGTATTTATTACTTTACAGCAGCAATGAATAAGAATTATAATATCACTCCAGCCTTAATGAGTGGCTAATTAGATTACTTTGCTTTTATTTGTGTTTATTTCATTTCTAGCAAGCTTAATTTTTTTTTTTTTTTTTGAGTATTAGTTTGCAATTGTTTTTTTGTATTTGGGTTCCATCTTTCCATATTTTTTATATTATGGTAAATACGTCCAAACTCATTGCTGTCAAATTGATTCTGACTCATAGCAACTCCTCCTTGGGTTTCTAAGGCAGTATCTCTACGGAAGTAGATTGCCCAGTCTTCCTTCCAGACTGGTGGGTTTGAATTGCCAGCCTTCTGGTAAATACCTTAGGCGCTACACCACCAGAGCTTCTGGTAAATGCATAGCTAATGAAATATCTGCCATTGGTATAATCTTCTCATATACAGTTCAATTATGTTCATTATGTTGTTCAACCATCACCATTAATGGTTCCATATTTATTTCCATAAACTTTACCAAAATCTCAGCATCCCCTAAGCATTGTGTCTTCTTTTCCCCCAACCTCCCACCCGCCCTTGATAACCACTAATAAATTTTGATCTCTGTATACTGTTTTCTTATTAATTGCCTAATCTTTCCTAGCTCTTATCTCAACTACCTTCCTCACCTTTATTGCTTTGTGTAGGCTCTCATGACTCATTCAGCTACTGGGTAGATGAAAAGTCTCCAGCGGGGCCTGACCAAACCCCAGCTATCAAACGCCTTGCCAGGATCTCCTTGGTGAAGAAGCTGATGAAGAAATGGTCTGTGACACAGAACCTGACGTTTCGAGAGCAGCTGGAAGCTGGGATCCGCTACTTCGATCTGCGTGTGTCCTCCAAGCCAGGGGACACAGACCAAGAGATCTACTTCATCCATGGGCTTTTTGGCATCAAGGTCTGGGATGGGCTGATGGAAATTGACTCGTTTCTAACACAGCACCCCCAAGAGATTATCTTCCTGGATTTCAACCACTTTTATGCCATGGATGAGACCCATCACAGATGCCTGGTTCTTAGAATCCAAGAGGCCTTTGGAAATAAGCTATGCCCAGCCTGCAGTGTGGAGAGTGTAACACTAAAAACCCTATGGGAGAAGAAGTGCCAGGTAGGAGAGAAACAAAGACGAGCTTCCAAAGGGCAAGGACTTAGCTCTTTCTTTTTCTTTATAACTAGCTGGTGGCATAGTGCCTGAGGCATTTGACTGCTAACCAGAAGGCTGGCAGTTCAAACCCACCAGCCACTCCTTGGGAGGAAGGTTGGGCAATCTACTTCTGTAGAGATAGCGCCTCGGAAACCCAAGGAGGGGTCGCTATGAGCCGCAACTGACTCGATGGCAGTGAGTTTTCTTTTTTAGTAGCTGTGAGACATCTCCATAGAAGCCTTAGTGGTTCAATATTTAACCACTCAGCTGGTAATTGAAAGTTTAACCCACCCAACCACTCCATGGGAGAAAAGACCTGGTGATCTGCTTCCATAAAAATTACAGCCTGGGAAACCCTATGGGGCAGTTCTACTCCCTCCTATAGGGTTACTATGAGTCATCGATTGACTTGATGGTACACACTAACAGGAAGACACCTCAATCCATAGCTCTTAGCTAGAAGGCACAAATTGTTTGGAATATTAAAAATACACAAACTGATTCCTGGGCTCTAGGATGGCTTCAAGGCACTTTGGGCCCCTTTGGACTGGGATGAACACCTGCCAAGTATTTAAAATTTGTTTGGCAACCTGTTCGGAAACTAAGTTGACTTTGAAACTGTTACCAATGTCTTATCTCCCTCAGGGTCCATTTTCACTGTCCTGGTCACCCTTAGTCCCATGGTGGTGTAAATGGTTAAGCTTTAGACTACTAACTGAAAAGTTGGCTGTCAAATCCACCCAGAGGTGCCTCAGAAGAAATATTTAGTATTCTACTTCTGAATGGTCACAGCCTTAAAAACCCTATGGAGAAGTTCTACTCTGCAGCACATGGGGTCACCACGAGTCAGAATCCACTCAATGGGTGGGTAGTCTCCTCAAGAGTAGTCTGTTCCACGTTGCCTTTAGCTGTATCAGATAACCTCTGCGAGGTATTAGCTGACAAAGGCATTGATGTGCTTCATCTCAGGGGTAATCACCTTTTAAAAGGTCTTATAAAATTTGGGTTATAAGAGAGAGAGTTAGGGAAGAAGTTATGTGTGTCAGAGTAGAACTGTGCTTCATAGGGTTTTTATGGCTGATTTTTTGTTTTTTTAACTGAAGTAGGTTGGCAGGTCTTTCTTCCAAGCCACCTCTAGGTGGACTCGAACCACCAACCTTTCAGTTAGCAACTCAGTGTTCTAACCATTTGCATCATCTGGAGACTCCCTACAGTAAGAAGAGTATCCAATCTAGGCCCATGAGGGACATGCTTGGGAAAGAAAAGATGGGCTTTAGATATATTCCACGCTGATCCCAAAGGATGAGACAGTGGGAGAGAAGTGCTTCAGGACAGGCCAGCCTCTAATTTAGACTCTTTTTTTTTTAAAAAAAAAAAAAAAAAAAGCCAGTACCTTGTTTTCATTCAAAGTTGCTCACTTTTCTTAGATCCACTCACCAAAACATTTTAAGGAGGTAGATATATTTGAACTCAGGGAGGAGCTTTTAATTAAAGATCAAACATAATGAATGATAGATCAGTCATTCACTTACAGATATTTATTGACTGCTAACCAGAAGGTTGGCAGTTCAAACTCACCAGCCACTCCTCGGAAGGACGGTTGGGCAATCTACTTCCCTAGTGAAACCACCTCAGAAACCCGAGGAGGGGTCACTACGAGTCGAGTTTGACTCAACAGCAGTGAGTTTTTTTGTTTGTTTTGTTTTTATGTGCCAAGCACCATATTAAACATGATAAATCAGTAAATAGAACAAAGATTCATGCCCTAAGGGGGTTTTCATTCAGTTAGTGCAAATAATAGATAATAAACATAATAAGTACATTCTATATAATGCTAAAAAGTGAAAACCTATGTGGGGAGGATGAGTATGGTTCGGGGAACCAGGATTTCTGGGAGGGGTGTGTGTGTGTGTGTGTGAAATGTGGAATTGGTTTATCAGGGCAGCCCTCACTGAAAAGGTGATATCTTAGACAGTTCACCATGTGGCTACTTGGGGGAAGAGTTTTCCGGGCAGAGGAAACAACCAATGCAAAGGCCCTAAAGCAGGAATGTGCCTGACTGTGAGGAAAGCCAGGGGTTGGGTGGGACTGGAGAACAGACAAGGACAAAATAGCAGGAGGAAGAGAAAGTGAGTGGGTGAGCAGATTATGTGGACCTTGTCGCTTTGCAAGGACTTTGGGTTTTCCTCTGAGTCCGAAGGGATCTCTGGCAGGGTTCTGGACACAGAGGTGATATGATCTTTCCTGTTTTAACGGGACACCTGTGGCTGCTGTGCTAGGAATAGCGTGAGGGCTAGGAGAAGCAGGCAGAAGTAGGAAAACAAATGAGGGAACTATTATGGCTTGAATTATGTCTCCCCAAAATACGTGTTAGAATCCTAACCTGTGGATGTCATCTTGTTTGGGGATCGGGTTTTCTGTGTTATGTTGATGAGGCCGTATCAGAGTAGAGTTTGTCTTAAGCCTGACCACTTCTGTGTTATAAAAAGAGCAGATTAGACACAAAAGTGAGCACAAAGGAGGGAAAGTTAGATGTCCTGTGAAGAACATGAAGGAAGGGAGAAATGCCAGAGCTGCAGAAGCAGAGACAAGGATCTTCCTCCAGTGCCTGCAAGAGAGAGCCTTCCCCTATAACCAATGCCCTGATTCAGACTTCTAATCTCAGCAGCTGTGAGAAGATAAATTTCTGTTCTTGTGGTATTTCTGTTACAGCAGCACTAAGAAACTAAGACAAAGACTTTTAGCAGAAAGTGTTCAGCTTTTGAATAATTAGAAGGTAGAGCTAACAGGTTTCCTAATGGATCTGAAGATAGTGAAGGTTCAATGATGACTCCCAGCTTTGGCCTAAGTAACTGGAAGCTCGAGGTTGTTTTTCACACCCATAAAGGAGCTCTGATGGCACAGTGCCTAAAGCATTTGACTGGTAACCAGAAGGCTGGTGGTTCAAACCTACCAGCAGCCGCTGCATGGGAGGAAGGTGGGGCAATTTACTTCCATTCAGATTTATCACCTAGGAAATCCAACTGGGGTTGCTATGAGTCAGAATCAACTTGACAGCAATGAGTTTGGTTTGTGAGTTTGTGAGAGTGCTTTATAGAGGCTCAAAGAGCTAACTTTTTAGTATCTATTAAAGTGCATTTAAGCCATTTTTCTTCACTGAAACCTTTGTAAGTGATATTTTGCCAATATTTATCACTTCTCCCCTAAAGACCTGTTCAGACTCACAGGTCTAATAGGAGAGACTTTTCTCCCAGTGGAGTTTCTTTCTTTCAATGTGGTTGTTTTTAGTTATTGGTGAGTCAGCCCATAACTCAAGGCTACCCATGCACAGTGACACAGAACACTACCTGGTCCTTTGCCATCTCCATGATCAGTTGTGGATTGGACCATTGTGATCCATAGGGTTTTTATTAGCTCATTTTCAGAAGTAAATCACCAGGTCTTTCTTCCTAGTCTATCTTATGAAAGCTCCTCTGAAACCTGTTTAGCATTATAGCAACACATAAGCCTCCACTGACAGATGTGTAGTAGTTGGACATGAGGTGCGTTGGCTGGGAATCAGACCTGAGTCTCGCTCCTGGAAGATGAGGATTCTACCACTGAACAATCAATGTCTTCATCTTACAACATTAAGTTATAGTAATAATAACAACTAGCATTTATTGACCCTTAGCAACCCCCATTGAGTTTCCAAGGCAGTAAACCTTTACGGAAATAGATAGCTCCATCTTTCTGCAATGGAGTGGCTGGTGGGTTTGAACCAACAACTTTCTGTTTAGCAGTCAAATGCCTTAGCTCCTTGTTTGTTTGTTTTTGTTATAATGCTCTAAGTATATTTATTACTTCATTTAATCCTCTCAACAACACTATGAGATAGGAATTTTATTGTTCCCCATTTTACAGATGAGGAAAATGAGGCATGAAGACATTAAATAACTTGGCAAAGGAACGATTGCCAATTAGTGGCAAAAAACAGGATTCCACTCAAGGATTATACTTTTCCACTTCTTCCTAGGGAGCTCTGGTGGCATAGTACCTAAGGCATTTGACTGCTCACCAGAAGACTGGTGGTTCAAGTCCATCAGCCACTCCTCAGAAGGAAGATGGGGCCATCTACTTCTGACTGCCAGCAGCTTCTGATGCTCTCTCCCAGGAGTGTTCATACATCTTGGTGATGTTCACAACCAGTGTCATGCATTATGCTAATAAAAACATTTCCTGTTTATTAATGAACTATAAGAATAGCAGCAACAACTTATCACAATGTCTCAGAGGGTTAACAGAATGGGAGGAGGGGATGGAGATCAGTAAAAGCGCTTTTGAATATTGAGATTCTGGTAAAGTTAAATATGAGTACAAGCATTGTTTTATAATCTAGTACACAGACAATTTTCTGGATAGGTTGCCATATTACATATTGATTGGTTAGAAATCTGCAGTAGTAACAAGTATTTTTCAAGGACAGGATGATTCAGTAGTAGAATTCTCACCTTCCAAGTGGGAGAACTGGGTTAAAGTCTCAGCCAGTGTGCATCATGTGCAGCCACTACCCATCTATCAGTAAAACCAAACTCATTGCCGTCAAGTGGGATCTGACTCAGAGACCCCTCCTTGGGTTTCCCAGGCAGTCTTACTACAGAAGTAGATTGCCCAACCTTCCTTCCAACGAGTGGCTGGTAGGTTTGAACACTCAGCCTTCCAGTTAGCAGTCAAATGCTTTACGCACTATGCCACCAGAGTTCCCCATCTATCAAGAGAGGCTTGCATATTGCTATGATGTTGAGCATATTTAGCTTTCAGACTAAGACTGACTAGGAAGAAAGATTTAGCAATCTAGTTATTAAAAAAAAAAAAAAATCAGCCAATGAAAACCCTGTGTGCTTGAGGTCACCATGTGTCAGGGACTGACTCAATACAGTTAAAAACAACAGCAGGTAACCTCAGGAATAATAAAGAGTGTGGATAGTGAATTGCTAGCAGATAGAGTGATGACTTATCGTGTATCAAAGCTGGGCAGAGCAGTAGTGTATAAGCAGTCTATAAAACCTGAACGCTTTCTGCTAACAGCCTCTGTCTTAGTTTCTTAGAACTGCTGTAACAGAAACACCACAAGGACAGAAATTTATTTTCTCACAGCTGAGGAGGCTGAATTCAGGGCATTGGTTATAGGGGAAGGCTGGAGGAAGATCCTTGTCTCTGCTTCTGTAGTTCCGGCATGTCGCCCTTCCTTGGCGTCTATGAGTAGTAGCCTATAAGCAGTGTTGTTGTTGTTGTTGTTATGTGCCATCGAGTCGGCCCCGACTCATAGTGACCCCTCCTTGGGTTTCCGAGGCAGTATCACTATGGAAGTAGGATTGCCCAACCTTCCTTCCGAGGAGTGGCCGGTGGGTTTGAACCGCCAGCCTTCTGGTTAGCAGTCAAGTGCCTTAGCCACTATGCTACCAGAGCTCCCTATAAGCAGTAAGATATCTAATTTACTCAAAAGAGGAGTCATGTCATTTCCTTCGGAAGGAAGAGAGAGTTTGTCGGGTATCTCTATATTTTGTAAAAAGCAGTTACCTGCTAGTGACTAAAAAGATTAAAGAATGTGTGAATCTAATTGTGCTGCCCAAGTACAAATACTCCTAAAGTTATGAAGAAAAGAGACTGTGATTAACATAACAGAAAAAGGAATTTTGTCATCCTTTTAAATTCTGAGGTCCCGTTTTTTCTTTCTTTCCCCATGTCTTCCTGGCCACTGCTCTTTGTAAATGCTGAACAAAGAGATCACAAACAGATCAGTCATTCCCTCCTCTCCTGGGACAATGCCAGGCTGGTGGTTGAACTTTAAATATTCATTATGTAATGAGCTGCCTTACATGTAACCCCCTTAAGTATTTTATTACTACAATTTAATCACAAGAAGTACACTACCATTCAGTTAAATTTCAGTTATTCAACGTGAAATTATATCACAGCCCACAGGTATACATTTATACCTTAGTGGCTATGAGTTTTGAGGGTACAATGAATTAGATTTAATCTACATCCTGGCAAGATATATTTTAGAACTCATTAAGTATTTAGAATCTTAATGAGAAGATAAGAATATATAACACTGCTAAAACACAAAACAACAGCTGTACAACTGCAAGATAAAATACTCTCTGCTATACAAAGAAAGGTGTTGTGGAAGAAATAAATTGAAAAATAGAACAGATTACATACCTGCATCCCAGAGGCCTCCAGAACAAGAAGAGGAGGTCAATCAAGGAATAGTTTTTAAAAGAAATGAGCTTTTTAATTTGAGTCTCAACAGAAAATGTGAATGTGAATCGCTGAGCTGGAGAGGGGAGCATTTCAGAGAAAAATACAGCAGAGAGAGAGAGATGAGAGAGCAGATACGGAACACAGGCCAGGGCAAGAGTCACGGTCCCTAGCATCTCATAGAGTAAGCTTGGTTTTTCATTAGGCCAACCTCCCAATATTAACAGACATTTTCCCTACAATCTGCGAGCTCAGATTGCTCAAGAGGGCTCTTCAGGAAAGACATAAAGCTCCTATTGTATAATTTGTACTTTTTGCACCTTTTCCAGGGCACAGTAAAGAACAACACTGTCCTCTTGTCCCCTGACCTTGCTGGCCACCAGTATGAGAAAATAGTCTGACAGGCTCAGTCGCAGGAACTCACAACCTCCCCACTCTCCTGCCTTGCATTTCACAGACCAAGTTCCCTCACCCAGGAGGCTGGAAACCCCAGCCTTCCAAACCAGCCAAATTGCCAAGAGGAAATCCTCCCCAATCTCCCAAGCAATCTGCTTACCATGAGCCAGGGATTAACCTCATTAACACACACGTTTACCACAGATGATATCAGCAGTCAGCCAGATATTACTCAAAACCATTAAAAACAACAGCTATTACCCTGTTCGGCACACCAAGCCTGGCACTACCTAGCTCTAGGCCTTTAGGAGCAGTTTATTCATACATCTTAGTCATGAGCTAAACTCATGCTGGAAACAGGACAGGCATTCAGAGTTCTTGGGTGCCTGGAGAATTATCACAGCCCACAAAGTATAAACACACAGACTGGACATTCCTGTAGGAAGAGCTCACGGGTGCCCAGGAGGTAAAACATGCATATATATTACTTCTAGAGACCTACACAGCAGAGCTCTGAATTAGGAATCACAATAGCAATGCCCCGTCTCTCAGCTGTCTCCCAGAAACTAATTAATGCTGTGGATGTGGCTTGGTAATTATTTCAAAATCATCACCATCCTGAGAGTTCCCTCTGGAGGCCCCTCGCCTCTGTGAAGTCTTTCCTGACTCAAATAGCACGCTGTCTGTCTTTCTGGGAATGGTGGAGTGCATTCAGAGTCAGCGGCATGCAATTAAAAGTCTGTTTTATTCCCAAGGAGGTCAATGCATTTATCTCAACTCCAAGAGCTAAGTGTAAATTTTGAGAGTGTTGAAGGAGTAACTTCTAGACAGCACTAGCTACAAGAGTTCTCAGCCTGGGGTCCTCAGCTTCCCAAGGGAGACCCCTAAAGAGAATTTAAGAAGTCTGAATTTAGATGGAGAAAAAAGGAGTACATATTTATATGTACTAACCTCTAACTAGGACCTCTGGTAGCGTAGTGGCTAAAGCACTTGACTGCTAACCAGAAGGCTAGCGGTTCAAATCCACCAGCCACTCCTCGGAAGGAAGGTTGGGCAATCCTACTTCCGTAGTGATACTGCCTCGGAAACCCAAGGAGGGGTCACTATGAGTCAGGGGCGACTCGACAGCACATAACAACAACAACAACAACCTCTAACTAAGGAGCTCTGGTGGTGTAGTGCCTAAGGCATTTGACTGCTAACCGTAAGGCTGGTGGTTCAAACCCACCATCCACTCCACAGAAGGAAGATGGGGCAATCTACTTCCATAAAGATTTACCACCTCAGAAACCAGGTCACTATGAGTTGGAATCGACTTGATGGCAGGGCTTTGGTTTGTTTTTTGGGAGCCTCTAACTAAAAATTAGTATACCCATTAGTACTGACCCTACCAGTTGTAACTTTGTCCTAATGGGAATCATAGGCATGTTTATATCACGTTTCAGTTATTGCAGATATTTTCAAATATCCTTTGCATTCATCACTAAGTCAAAATTTTCAAGTTTATTAGCCCCATAGCCATCCCTAAGTGGTGCAAGCAGCTAAACTCTGAGCTGCTCACTAAAAGGTTGAAGGTTCTAGTCTACCCAGGAACACTTTGGAAGAGAATCCTGGTGATCTGCTTCCAAAAGATCAGCCATTGGAATCCCTGTGGAATACAGTTCCACTCTGACACACATTAGATTGTCATAAACTGGAGTTGATGTGACAACAGCTATTTCTTTGTTTCTTTTTTTTTTTTTAAGTTAGACATACAACATGTTAACATAACATAATATGGTAATGTATTATGAATCTGTTTAATATATTAATAACTATTTCAATATAATTGGTTTTCTGTATCATATTGTATTGCATGCATTCATTTAACAGCAATATTCTAAGAAAGAGTCCATGATTTTACCATACTTACAAAGGGATTCGTGGCAAAAAAAAAAGAAAAGTTAATAATCCTCAAGCAAGACACACAGCAGGAGCTCAGTAAATCTTTGGTATTGATTTTTTTCTCAATTCTCAACACGTTTATATTTGTTTGCCTTTCCTTGTTCTAAAACCAACAAGTTAGCATTCAACTTTTTTATGACTTGTTCTTCATTTTCTGTTTTGTATATTTCAGGTTCTTATTTTTTACCACTGTCCCTTCTACAAGCAATACCCCTTCCTGTGGCCAGGAAAGAAAATTCCAGCACCCTGGGCAAATACCACAAGTGTGCGCAAACTAATTCTCTTCTTGGAGACCACTCTTAGCGAGCGGGCCCCGCATGGCACCTTCCATGTTTCTCAAGCTATTCTCACCCCTAGAGTGAAGACCATTGCCCGAGGCCTGGTGGGTGGCCTCAAGAACACTCTGGTTCATAGGTAAGGATTTGCTTCCATCTTACAAGTAAAATTTTTGAAAATTCAGCTTCTCTTCTGAAAAAACAGCTTTGCATTTGAGGTAGATTGCATTAATTGTGCCCAAAGGATCACATTTTCTTAAAATGTATACTTTATAAGTATATTCTAAATTTTGATACATGCAAAGCACTTTAAGTCAACACTATCCTTTTCTGACATGTGGCCACATCCTGTTCTGGCTCTTGACCTCACAGGTTGTAGTTTTATTTAAGAAGCATCAAATACCTCTATTCTAGGTATTGGGATTCAGAGATGGCCCTTCAAGTATTTAGGGGTCTTTTATACTTCCCTAGTGACATTCAGTCCTAAGAAACAACTTTAGATGCCACCACCATGCCACAGCTTTCAGTACTTCCTCAAAGCAGAAGGAAGCCTAACTATACAATTAGGCAGGAAAAGCTTCAGTTATTTTGTATTATATCATGTTCTTTACCCTAGACACCATTGAATGATAGATGCTATCAAGATAAAGTTTGGTTTATGCATATGGATATGCATAAACATTATAAATTATAATATTATAAGTACATTCATATAGTGCATCCCTAGTATACAAGCCCAGGAACCTAAAAAAAATTGGGTAGCAAGACATATTTACAAGGATCAGTTTGGTTCTCAAGTTGTAAGTACAACAAGAGTTGCAACAAGCATTCAGATAGTGAAAGATTCGCCCAAAAATGTGACCCTGTCTATTTGGTTCTGAGTTTGGGTAACATGAGTTCAGAACAGAGAACTCAGCTAACAGGAGTTTGGATAGCAAAGGGCACCTGCATTTTTCTTTCATGGTGAGAGCTGCCTTGGACAGAACTAGAAACCCTCCCTATTTGGCTCTATCAAGTCTTTGACTAAATTAGTTGTGCTGAGCTTAATGATCTGGAATTAGTTTTTTTTTTTTTTTTTTTAATTATATGTTCATGTATCCCTACTGTTTTTCTCATGGCTTTTGGCAAATTAACATTATTTACTCACTCTTTCAGTAAATATTGAGTACCTAGGAGGAGCTGGGTCCAAAGATACAGATTAATAATATAGTCTCTGCCCTCACAGAACTAACAGTCTAGTAGGAAAAACAAACATGTAAATTTCTATAAGGCAAGGTAAAAAAATCACTATACTAAAAGTATGTGCAAAGGGCTGTGCTAATAAGGAAGAGGGAATATTTAAACATAATTTATATCTGTATACTGTATTCTGAATAGAAAGTGTTTTCTTGCTGATGATTTCAAGCCAACCTGTAGAGGAGACATTGTTTAGAGCTCATTATCATCCCCATTTTACCCTCCGTGAGGTTAAGTGACCCAGATCCACATAGCCAGTAAGTATCTGAAACTCTGAACTTCTGATTGTCAAAACACTGCCCTTTTCAGTGTTTAACACTGAGTCAGATATAACATTTTTCAGTGCTCTGTTCCTTTCTGATCCAAAGGCCTTTAATTGCTTACTGGTACTTGAATCTGGTCAGACCTTAATAGTTACAACTGTTAATCTACATTGTCAAAATGATTTTCATACTTATAAATTCCTGGAACTTTAATCTGTCTGCAAAGAAGCACACAGTTCTTTCATTTAGTGGTAATGATGGCAGTATGCACCCAAAGCCAGGGTGTTCCACATTCCAGCCCCTTAAAAAAATGTTTTGGTGTCATGACCCATACAGTCACAAGAATATTACCAGGATGCATCATGCGTTCCTAAACCTGCCTATCAACTGAACAGGAAGTGCAACTCTGGGCAAAAGTGTGTTCTCAAATTGCCAGAACAATGTGCCACTGGTGTTTCCTCTGGGCTGTGAAACAAGAATAAGGAACGCTGGTGGTGCAAACGTTAAGCACTCAGCTGCTAATCGAAAAGTTGGCAGTTCAAACCCACCCAGCAGCTCCAGAGGAGAAGGACCTGGGGATCTCCTTCCATAAAGATTACAGGCAAACCAGTACCACGTGTTCTGCTCAGGGACACAATAGATGGTTCCTTACGGAAAGGGAAAAGAATGTGCAAGAAGACTTTAAATTTTAAGAATCTGTACTGACGGAACCTATTGAAATTTGAGGAGTTCCCAAGACTATTATTGCCCTGAGCCAAACCTTGAATCAAAACTATCCCCTAAAGTCATTTTTAACCTAAATAACTATTTAACTTTAAAAGAGTGAATAATGTACTCTTTTTAAAAAAATTATCTCCATAAGACCAAATGGACAACATCAATTTTAAAGCATAGAGGGAAGGTTGGGGGTGGGGAGAGTGGTGCAAGAATTGAATGCGAGTGAAACAACCAGAACAGAAATAATGAGAATGTCGACACAAAGTGAAGAATGTAACCAATGTCGTTGATCATTATATCTAGAACCTGTTTAGGAGTGGGCTTTGCTGCATATATTTTCACCAAATATAAAATATTTTAAAAAATACATATATTACAGACAAGCAGATAAGAAAACCTTGTGGGGCAGTTCTACTCTGTCACCTTTGTCTCATAAGATTGCTATGAGTCAGAGTCAACTTGACGGCACCCAACAACAACAACATGGAGCAAGTAGAAGAAACCAGTAGAGTTGACAAGGGCCTTCCCCTGATGACCAAGAGTCAGACCTAACTGATAAGCCACACAGAGTCATGGTCACACTGCTCATCAGCTCAAATCAGAGGCAAAAGACAAGGTTTATTTCCCTGCAAATCTGGGAGTCATTTCCTTACTAGGTAGTTAACCCCTGTACTCTTGGTTGAACTTCAGCCCTAGCTCATCTACCTAGATGGAAGCCTCAAAAGACACAGCCATTTTGACAGAGTATCTATGGTGGTATTCCCCAGATTCTTAGAAACCATATACACTCCCACTGAAATCAAATGAAGGCAAATTTTATTTAAGCCTGAGCACAGAGCATCCATGGGACCCTCAAAGGGGGCATGGACTGGAATCAGAAGGCTTGAGATTGAAGCTTAACTTAGTACCTTATCAAGGAATGGTCTTGACATCTCTGAGCTAGATTAAATATTATGCAGGGGCATTGGTGGTTCAGTGAAAGTCAGTAGAGTTCTTGCCTTCCATGCAAGAGACTTGAGTTTGATTCCTGGCCAGTGCAACTCACGTGCAGCCACCACCCATCTGTCAGTGGAAATGTGTGTTGTTCTGATGCTGAATAGATTTCCACAGAGCTCCTAGACTAAGGCAAACTAGGAAGAAAGGCCTGATGATTTAGTTCTGAAAATCATGTAGTCAAAACCCTATGGATTACAACAGTCTGGTCCACAACCAATCATGTGGATGGCAAGGACCAGCCTACACTTAGTTCCATTGTGCAGTTGGGGGCCAACTTGATAGCCGCTAACAACAGCAACAACAATCTTACTGCACCAGTGAGATTATAGAGTCTTAGAGTAAACAACATGAAAATGCCTACCTCAGTGCCTAACATAAAATAGGCATGGCTCCCTATTTGTAAAGACAGCCAGGAATACAGTGGATCAGCCCTGTACTCAGGTAGGAGCTCAAGGTCAAAGGCAAGTTTATAACCTACTGTCTGTGGCCTGTGGGATTTGGTGCCATGGGGGCAATCAGTGATAACTGGCTCAGCCTTTTTACACAACTCTCTCATTTTGATATGTGCCAGAAGTTGGGAAAACAAAGTTGCTCCTCTTCACAGTGATTCTAGATTTCCCTTTCTTTGTATGTAATCCTGGTTATTTGATCCTTGCCTTCTGGAAGGTTGGCATGGGCAACCCAAAGCTGACCCAGAGCTCTTTGTCACCAGAGACTACAGGTACAGACCCTTCCTGAGTTTCTCCGCTCAGGCTCCAGGGATCCTCAGAGTTTTGGCACTACTTGGCAGTTGGCTGGAGTTGCCTCCAGACATGCAAGTCTCATTTCTCCATGACAACCAGAAGATGGCGCCTCTGTTTCGTACTAAACACTAGCCTGGGCTTTTTAAAAGTTAACAGCCTTGAATGTGTGAGGCTAATTACTGCTGTGTCTTTCATGTATGCATGGTCCCTACTTCCAAGGGGACTGTATTTTTAGCCCCTTATTCTTAAACTAAGGGGGTCTGGTGGTATAGTGGTTAAGGAATTAGGCTGCTGACCAAAAGGTTGGTTTGAACTCCCTAGCCACTTGAATCACAGTCAACTAGATGGCAGTGTGTTTATCTTAAGCTACAGCATTTTGTCCTCTAAGCAGCAGGATGTAAAGGCCTTAGGGAAGTTTTTTACTACCACCATCCCCCAACCCCCAAATAGCTCTACCTTTTACCCTACCATTAATGATTTCTTCTGTTATGTCAAATACTTATATATTGTTAGCTGCCATGGAGCTGGCACCCAATTCATGGCAACTCCATGAACAATGGGATCAAATCATTGTGATCCATAGGGTTTTCACTGGTTGATTTTCAGAAGTAGATTGCCAAGTCTTTCTTCATAGTACATCTTAGCCTTGACATAATAGCAATACACAAGCCTCCACTGACAAACAAGTGGTAGCTGCACTTAAAGTATATTGGCTGGGACTCAAACCCAGGTCTTCCACATGAAAGGTGAGACTTATATAAATCCCAGACCAAACCCTTTGCCACCTCATGGTAACCCCATGTGTTACAAAGTAGAACTGCTGCATATGGGGTTTTTTTGGTTTTAATCTTTATGGAAGAAGATTGTCAGGCCTTTCTTCCATGGCATCACTGGGTGGATTTGAACATCCAACCTTTAGGTTAGGAGATAAGTAAAAACCATTTGTGCCACCTAAGGACCAATAATGTTATTATTGCAAGTCCATTCCAACTTATAGCAGCCCTATAGGACAGGATAGCACTGCCCCTTAGGGTTTCCTAGGCTGTAGTCTTTACATGAGCAGATTTCTAGGCCTTATTTCCCATAGAACTGCTCTTGGGTTCCAATCACTGACCTTTCCATTTGCAGCCAAACCAGAGTTTCTTGGAGCCTAATATAGTACTTCCTGTATCCCACACACTGTTCTAAGCAGTTTACATATATTATTTTAATTCCAAAAGAAAAAAAGTATATATATACTCGGAAGGAAGGTTAGGCAATCTACTTCCATAGTGATACCACCTCGGAAACCCAGGGAGGTGTCACTATGAGTCAGCTCTGACTCGACAGCACATAGCAACAACTATATATATATATAAGATGAGTGTTACTACTATCCCCATTTTATAGGGGGGGGGAACTGAAGCACAGAGAAATTCACTAAGTCAAGATCAAATTGAGGTGATTGAGTCTTCAGGAGTCCCAGTTAAAAATGGAAGTACCCCAGGAGGGTAGTTTTTTAAGTGATAATCAACTTTTAATGTAAGAATGTGAATTGATTTAGAATATGTATTTTAACCCATGGCTGATTTATAGAGTCCACTGAGTAAAGAAATGAGACCCAGGACCAATTATAGTTTTCATGGTGAAAAGAGAAAGAGCAGAAAGACAAAAACTTTGTTAAGAGTTGTTAAGAAGAAGACTCTGAGGAGTCAGAATGTATCCTAGTCAGTTAACATCATTGTAATCCTTGTCATAATCGATCCCTTTCTCTTGTTTTCAGTTACATTCTCCTACAGAGGAGCTGTCCGTGAAGGAGAGTGTTAACTGAAAGAAGATAAAGGGATCACTTAAGATAACCTTGCTTGTTTCCAGTTTTGGAATAAAATGGTTTCATCCTAAATAATCCCCAGTTACTTAACCAGTGTAAACTCTAGTTTGTGTCTTCCTTAAAGCATTCTTAACTTTTGGGTTTCTAGTGAGCTGTTTTTACTGATTGAAAATTATGACTAAACTTACCGCTCCCTCTTGTAAGCCCCCATTGTACTTTATCCTTACAACTAATACAGAAATTATCACATTGAGTTATTTATTTATATCCCTAAACTTTTGTCTTTGGACAAGACATTCTGGCTAGCTGTCAAATAGGAAGTGCTCAATTTATAATATAAGACTGATTGTATTCATCAGACAAGTGAGCAAACATTTTTTAAATTATGACACACATAGTACTGGAATAACTAGAAAGTAGTGCTGGAAAAGCTGCATATCCATAGGGAAAATGTGATCCTTAACACTTACTTCATGCCATATGCAAAAATGAACTCAAAACGGATCTTAGAGCTAAGCATAAAAGCTAAAACCATAAAACTTTTAGAAGAAACCATAGAATACCTTAGTGCCTTAGGAGTTTCTTAGGTCAAAAAACCAAGTTGATTCTGATTCATAGTGAGCCTATAGAGCAGAGTAAAACTGTCCCATAGAGTTTCCAAGGCTGTGAATCTATACAGAAGCAAACTGCCCCCATCTTCCTCCCATGTGGTTAGTGGTTCAAACCACAAACTTTTTGATTAGCAGCCAAATGCTTTAACCACTATGCTACCAGAGCTCCTGTCTTGGTTTTCTAGTGCTGCTATAACAAATACCACAAACAATCTACTTCCAGAGATTCTGCCTCAGAAACTCAAGGATGGGTCACTATGAGTAGGGATCAACTCAACGGCAGTGAGCTTTTTTCTTTTTATAGTTTAGGAGGCTAGAAGTCCAAGTTCAAAATTCCAGCTGTAGGGGCTGGGTGAAGGCCCCTCAACTTTGGGCTTCAGCTCTGCCTCTTTTTCCAGGCCTACAAGAGCTGGAGGCTCTTTATGACTCATGCAGCTACTGGTTGCTGAGGCTAATGAACCCAGCATCAACAGGCAAAATGGCATAATCCCAAGTATGGCAGGCCAAGACATGGCCAAATGCAGGGTCCAGACATGCCAAGAGCTCGAGACCAGGCTCAAAGCTTCTCCTCATATACCAGAAGCAGCCCACACCTTGAAGGCAACTAATTAGCTGCTCACAGCAGATTCCACCTTGGAGGTGATTATACCACATCCAATCTCATCATGAGAAACAACTGCATCCAGCTGCCAAGCTACTCAAAGTCACAGCCCTGCCAAGTTGACACACAACCTTTACTACCACAGTTCCTTAGATACCAAAAAAACATAAAAAAAAAAAAAATTGATAAATTAGATCTCATCAAAATTAAAGACTTTAGTTCATTAAAATGCACTATGAAGGAAATGAATAAGTGGGCTACAGACTGGGAGAAAATATTCAAAGTGGAGGGTCAATGAAGGCTCTCAACAAGATGGACTGACACAGTGGTTGTAACTGTGGGCTCAGGTATAGTGAGGACTGTGAGGCTTGCACAGGACTGGACAGTGTTTCATTCTGTTGTACATAGGGTCACTATGAATTGGAGACAACTTGACAGCACCTAACAACAGCAACAATAGTAATGTTCTATACTTTGATAAGGGCTTGGATTATACAACAATGCAACCATTGCTGTGGAGTCAGATCCGACTCATAGCGACCCCTCCTTGGGTTTCCAAGGCGATATCACTATGGAAGTAGATTGCCTGCCACCTTTCTTCCGAGAAGTAACTGGTACCAGCCTTCTGGTTAGCAGTCAAATGCCTTACAGGTGTATGCATTTGTCAAAACTCAACAAATGTACACTAAGATTTATACATTTGACTGTATGTAAACTTTATGTCAAAAGAAAACCAAATTGAAAATAAACATTCAACCCTAGTTAATGATCTGCATTGTTGTTGTTGTTATGTGCCGTCAAGTCAAACCCGACTCATAGCGACCCCTCCTTGGGTTTCCGAGGCAGTATCACTACAGAAGTAGGACTGCCCAACCTTCCTTCCGAGGAGTGGCTGGTGGGTTTGAACCGCCAGCCGTCTGGTCAGCAGGCAAGTGTCTTAGCCACTATGCTACCAGAGCTCCCATGATCTGCATAGTAAAGTATTTATGGGCTATGTTTAAATGTTTAGGGAGCTCTGGTGGCGGAGTGGGTAAGGCATCTAATTGTGCTGCTAATTGTGATTCAAACCCACCAGCTGCTCCGTGGGAGGAAGATGAGGCAGTGTACTTCTGTAAAGATTTATAGCCTTGGAAACCAAATGGAGGTCATTATGAGTCTGAATTGACTCAATAGCAGTGAGTTTGGTTTTGGTTTGGTTTAGATGTTTGCAGTTAGAATTTGTCAAAAATATAATATGGATTGATGGAAGGATAAAGTGATGGATTGATTTGGTAAGAAAATATAGTGAAATGTTATGGTGGAGGTATACTTACTGTAAATTTTTTCAGTTTTTCTATAGGTTTGAAATTTCTCATAAGAAAAAAATAAAGAACCCACCAATAGTTAGGCCCAATCTCAGTTTTGTAACGTTCCTGTTGATACATTCTATGTTTGATGCTTGGGCAAACAGTCTTCTTCTCTTCCAGCAGAAGAATGCTGGAAAGCACAGTTCTCTGACAAAATAGAGATAACCTCAGCCCTGAAGAAGAGAGATATAAGGCTTAACTGGACGAACTTCCAGGGGCTTGTGCTTTGATTGACGTGTTTTTTCTATATTAACAGAATTCTTTATTTGCATTCCTGGAGCAGTCCTTCTAAACTACTCTCTGTTCTCTCTTTCCTCAACACTGTCCTCCATGTAGGAATCTTCCTGCTATCCTGGATTGGGTGAAAACTCAAAAGCCTGGAGCGATGGGTGTCAATATCATCACATCTGACTTTGTGGACCTGGTGGACTTCGCCACAACCGTCATTGAGTTGAATGACCTCCTACAGGAGGACACAGCTTTGGCTAAATGCTGACCTAAAATTTTATTTTACTTAATGTTGAATTATTGATCCAGGGTAGAGTTTGGAAGGATTCCCTGTTAGGATGGTCTTTGGGCAGTAATGATCCAATGACTAAGAGGAGGGAGGGCATTTTTTCCTTCCTCACAGGGCCATTTGGGTAAAATTACAGGGCTTTTAATTGCATTTTTCCCAGGTGAGACTTCTTAAAAACTTAAGTCCAAGGGAAGAAAGCACATTTCATGGGATCCAGATCAGGATCTCCCCAGTTGCTTATGGTAGTGGCTGGAATATGGAAATAGGGTCTCCAAGTTCCACTGGGATATTGAGTGTCCCCTAATTGACCTATTTCCCTGTTGTCTTCCAGGATGTTGTTTGAGTCAGTGAGAGGCCTGATAGCAGAAAGACATTCCTGTCAAAAGAATGGCTCATAGCAGGTGTGGACTGCCCTGTGGAGTGGCTCTAACACCAACCTGGGTTTCTTTTGCACGGAAGAGGTTTATCACTAGTTCTCTCTAGACATGTTGAATGTCACCACTTCTTCCCTGAGAGAGTATGACTGATTTATCAACAAGTTGTTTAAGCCACAAGCTGTTTATGTATAGCTTGTGCTGGTTGGTACCTGAGTACCCAATTTCTTCAGATTACAAACAGTGCATACTGCCCTCAGTATCAGAAGTGTGTTTCCCACTTTTAAAACATTGATTCCTTTCCATTTCTTTTGGCCCCTGTTAAGAGTGAAAGGAACAATGATGGGAGATCTTTTCAACTGTGGGGCCCAACAAAAGATAGACATGCATGCCTGTTGCATGCCAGATTTCTTTGATTTAATTCTGTAGCTTTTCCCAAAATGGCTGCCAGGCAAGAACCTGAATCATTTTGGCAAAGTCCTCTTTGGAGTGGCACCTTCAAGTCAGATCTCGGCATTGCGTTTTGTTATTGCCTGCCTAGGATTTGGATATGCACTGTGGACACAATGCTAAGTGGAAGGAACTTTTTCCATGATACCATAGAGGCAGAAACAGGACACATGGGGAAGTGCAATGGCATTAAAGGAGACAGCTCCGAGTGGGTTTGGAGCCATTCTGCAACTCCTTGAAAACAAGACTACCTCGGGAACATTTAAGATGACTCGTGGTCATCAAGTGAGAAACACCCAGTGTTGGAACATTAACAGTTCTTGTCTTGATTGTTCTACTTTCTACCAGTTGTTTTGAGTCTATAATCACTAGTGCATGAAGGTTTTGAAACTCAAGAGGGGATTTTTTTTTTTAATTGATAAGAGGTGCTTATCTATAAAAAGCCCTCTTGTGTTTGTCTGCCTGTATTTATTTATTTATTTATTCATGTATTTATTTATTTATAGATTAAGTATCTGCAGTGCTTCTTACCTTAGGTGCCCTCACAAAGGAGCTTCCTAAACTTTTCTCACCCAGGACTGATGCTGCCATGGTCTTCCTCTCATCATCAGGACCATGCATCTCAGGACTGTGTGTAATCTCTGACTTCTCCCACCCCAATCATACTGGGGACAGTGGATATGTGTGCATGTGGTCCAGAACTCTTAAGCCACTACCAAGCCACACACTGGGACAGAAGATGGAATGGGTCATGAAGAGCTCTCAGTCTTTGAGGTAGACCGTCCAGAAGAGGACTGAAAAGGGAAGGAGCTAGAAAGAAAACAAGGCATGGGAGTATGTATACATTGATGCTCCTGGGGACTGTCTAAAAATCCCAAAGGATGTATCAGCTTCTGAATCCTTAAAGAGGGAAGATGAACCCAGGATCTTACATGGATGTGTGCTTTTATAAAGATTGTTTGGACCCTTCCCCCAGTAGCTTCCAGCTTCTATCCTTTGATGCTTACAACTAGATTTTGCATGTTACCTGCAGTGGGGGTATCCTAGGAGTATCCACATTCACCCTCACCCCCACTCTTGGTCTTCCAGCCTTTACTTTGTGGAAAGTAATTTAAGCCCTCACCTTTAGCTTCTGCTGCTTCCCCCTGCTTGAGGAGGCCCACAACACAAATGCCTCTGGGAAAATCTGGCTTAATTTACCTTTTTCATGCATTTGAATCCCTCCCTGAAGAGGTTCGGGGATAGCGTTGTCAAATTCTGTAGGGCCTATTCTGGATAGATGTAAGAAGGTGAGGGCCCTCTCTTTCTATCTTTCCCTTCAATTCTGATATTAAACCCCACTGACAAGCTCTGAAATCCCTGGCCTTACCTCAGGGTTTTATTTTTGTTGTTATTGTTTTATTTTGTTTCTGTTTTTAATTCTCGGTCACTTGCTAGGGATTAGGTCGTTTCCCCTCTTTTAACCTTGTACAACTTGGCAAAGAGATAAGGAGGCAAGAGCAAGAAAACATTCTGCTCTGTTTTATTTGAGCCTCAGCTTTGTCCAGGTGCTTGGTGCTATGAGGCCAGGTGTGTTGACAGGTATCTGCATAGGATGCCAGTAGCACCCCAGGGCTGCTGACTGTTCAGTGAAATGTTTACTTGATTTTCTTCTTTAGTTTTTATATATATTGTAGTTGCACTTCACTTGGGTTGTAACATTTAAGTGCACCTCAGTGTTTGCATGATAAGGGAAAAGTCATTAAGCATGACACAAAAGCACAAAAGTCTTCAGGCATGGTGAGTACAGGTGCCCCCTCTTTCATGCTGCTTTGGGTCACCTGCCTGGCTTGCATTATGAAAGTCTGTACTGGAGTCCTGGGAGGAAGGAGGAGGATCATTTATAATTCCCTGATAAACACCCTTGAGTTCGCAGAGTTTCTGCTTCAGAATAAAGTTGCTTAAGGTATTATAAAAAATGTGTGCATTCTGCTCCTTGACCCAGGGCCTGGGCAGTAGACCTCAGGTAGGCAGATAGGACAGAGAGAAAATAAACTTTAACTCTTTGACCGATCCATTTACGAATTGCCAACAACAGAAATGGTGACAGCTATATCACTTATTCTCGAGTCCTGGGGGCTTTCAAATTAGAACAATGCTATCACGCTTGTTCAGAATTAACTTCAAGATCAACTATCAATCTACTTGATTGAGCCAAAGAGGACTTTCATTTCACAGAATTTGGGGCCATGTTTATTTGGGAATGTAGACTAAATTTTTCATGTGTTACCTGGACCATTTCTTACATGGCCACATTGTCATGGCTGTGTGGCAAAGGTGATCATTGCAGGCTTCTGTTAGATTAGAACAGTGTTTAAGAATTGAACTTTGAGCAGGTACCATTGTGGTTTGATGGGTACAGAAGATATTCTTAGGATTGGAAAGAGAAGACAAGATGGAATTGATGGAAGGAAATTAAGTTACTGAGGATTAAATTTTAAGTTGATGGTAGATCTAAGAGGGTCATACAAAGTGTGTGTGTATTATATGTGTGTGTGTGTGAGTGTGTGTGTGTATATATATATATATATATATATATATATATATACTTGCTGTGTTAGACTCTATAGGAATTAAATTTAGTCATTTCCCTTAGATCTGAGCCCAGGCCCTTGAATTCTTGAGAACCCTTATGCCATAGTCCAAACCCAGGATTTCATATGAATGCAAAGAAAAGCACAAGATCTGATCCAGGAAATGGAGTCTCAGGAGCCCTAGTTCTTCTCTTCATGATATGCTCCTATTTACATCAAACAAAAAGTTTTTCTTTCTATTCAAGAACACTAAGTAATGGAGAATGGAGCATCCTGGAATTAAATGCAGTTCTGTGGTATTCCAGGATTGTCTACCATGGTTTTCTGAATTTTACCATGAGAAAGTCCTGCCCAAAGAGAGATTATTATGACCCAGCTGGAAGCTGCCACACAAAACTAAAGGTGGAGAAAAAGAAGAAATTAAGATGGGAAGTAAACTCCTTGGTTTTCCTGGCAAAAGGGCTGCATGAAAACAGGCCATCTTGTAGATTTACTTCAAACTATAAATTTTGTATAATTTTGGCTGGCTGCAGATTTGTGCTGCTAGGTTCTGGGAGGCAGAATGGGCTAATGAATGGGCACCGGCCTGAGACTCTGTGCTGTGGCTGAGTGGGTGATCCCGTGCTAACTCATCCTTGAGTCCGTCATCTGTAATAAAAATGCTGTTTACAGCCAAATGATTTTGCAAACCTCAATTGACCCAAAATGTAAGGTCCCCAATGCTTAGGTAAGGAACCCTAGTGGCACAATGGTTAAGCATACAACTGCTAACTGAAAGGTCAGCAATTCAAACCAACTGTCACTGCACTGGCAATCTACTCCTGTAGGAAATCCTATGGGGCAGAACTGCTCTGTCACATGGGGTCGCCATGAGTTGGAATTGACTCAGCAGCACACAACAAGAATGCCATTTAGGTTATATGCTTTATACTCGGGGTATACAGTTGTGGCAATTCTTCCTTCTGTGGTATGTGTGGAGAATACTACTGGGGTTTATTTCCCAAAAATGTGTAGGATGACAGATCTTACCCTAGATGGAACATTTAGCAATCTGTATGATGAGATGTTTATGGCAGAAAGAAATGTGTCAACATATATATGAGTTCCTGAGAGGGAGGCTTTCTCAAATACATGCTAAGTAGCCCTATTATGCCAAGAGAAAACCAATACAAATTAATAACATGAAGCATTCCAACTGATTTAAGTTTCCTTTGTATGACATGGAACAGAATTGTCCCTTTAAATTCTTCTAGCATTCTAGTACCTCTGGCCCTCTGCCTTGGGCTGTCCCTGGTATTTGCTACCATAACTTTGCCACTCACAGGTGTTGCCTTGGGACACATAGAAATGAATTGCTTGGATGATAAGAGATTTAGCTAGCTACTTTAGACTAAATTCCAAACTATACTTAACAGCTCTATACTACCCAGCTCTATACTATCTCCTTGTCCTCTGGATTCCCCAGCTTCCTAATTGAAATAGTGACACCACCCACTGGCACCATGATATCTTTAAATTGGCCCTAACCCAGAAGAATATACTACAAAATGCTACTGCTTTTCTTCAAATAGCACAGTCTTAG